TCCCTCTATAAAATCCATTTCTGCCACTGTCAGAGACAAGATATTGGGCTAGATGAACCATTCATCTGACCAAGTATGGTACTTATATTCTTATGTTTTTAAGCTCCAACTTCTTTTTCAATTTGGATATCAAATTGTTTCTCATTCACCATTCCTGAAACCATGTAGTGATTACTGGGTTCAATAAATACAGATATACAAGAATGGGAAGAAGGAAATAATGACTTTTATTGTGGAACAGTAGGCAACCCCTGCAGACCCTTGATTTCTCTCTAACTAGCTTGTTACTTAACTGAGGGATTTTTTCCCAGTTATCAACTTTCTCAGTGTCCTTAGGGAGTATCTCTAAAAAAAACTTCTATCACTACAGAAAATTATTCATCTGGAGCCTCGTTAGAAAACTGTACTGAGAAATGTGAGAGATGCACATTCAAGCTCCCTGTGGTTGAGGGTCCTGAAACCCAGGTTTTTTGCTTCCTAACCACCAGGTTGATGGGATAAACCAGGGGAGGTTGTTCTCCTTCTCTACAGTTTAGCACCTTCTAATCATGGTAGGTTTTAGAGTACCATGTTAGACAGCCTGACCACGATCTTGGGATTTACATTCACTCAGATACATATGTACAAGGATCACATTACTGCCTGGCCAGTGCATGCTCAGTAGCCATGTGGACCCTTGCAGATCCACATTTCATGTGGAGTAGGATCTCAAATTGTGCACGTGTCAAAAATAGCAGTTTTGCAGCTGGGTAAGTGCCATTTGAGTGCATTAGGTGAAATAGAATTGTGCCCTAAGTGCATCCACAGAGGGAGTTACTGAGCAGCAGCTAGTGTGCTGCGAATTCACAGGCAAGCCTACCACATAGTCATTTCTCTGTCTAGACAAGTCCTTACTCTGGAATAAGAATGCCCACCTGTGGAATAACCCAGGAATAGCTAGGCTGTCATAGCTGTATGTACAGATGAGCCAATGGTATATAGCTGACCTCCTCTGAGGGACAGGCTAAGCAACCAGTCAGGGGAGTGCTATGCTAGCAACAAAATGGGAAGTTAGACAGGCACCGCATGCCAAACAGATACTTAAGCCTGTGCCTCTGAATCCTAATTACCCTGACTGCAGGGAATTAAGGGATGGTATAAGTTTGATGATTTCAAAGAATCAGAAATGTTCATTTATAGTAAAAAAAAGTAATATCTCATTGGCATCACCTGGAGGAAGGATTCACATGACTGAGTGAATCACTTGTTACATGCCATTAAGGAAGGAGAGTGGGCAGCTGGGAGCTGTTTTCTGTTTCCAAGGTTCCCATACTTCCCACTCAGATACACAGTACCTGGAACACTGGAGTATCACAGTTCTCACTGCAACACTGAAAGCAAGAGCCATAATGGAGATTTGCTACTGATGGGTAAACTGGACAAATAGCTTTTTCAAATGTAGAAACAAAAACTGTGTGGGGATAGGGGACTGAATTTGGGGCCATGCTGAAGATGTTGGGTCATCACCACTAGAACTTACCTGGAGATTCTTATGCTTAATGGATGAAACATTTCCCACATGAGAAATATTACAGAGAACATGGAGTAGATCCCAAGCAGCCCTCATTCTGGCAGGTAAAGAAGGGTTGATGTTCCCCAGGTGAATCCCTAGTGCAAGTGATTGTGAACTAGATGTATTTGCTTTGCACAATCAGAATGTATTCCCATCCATAAATACCATAGGTTTATATTTATTTATATGCTATGCATATAATGCATCTAATATTATGAATATAATTATAGATGTATAAATGTACTGTATATCATACATCAATATGTATTATATATGTATAATATATACATTCACCATATCATAGTATCATAGTACTTAGGATTGGAAGGGACCTAAACAGATCATCAGGTCCCACCCCCTGCCCCAGGAAGGAGCGGGTGCTGGGATCATATCACCCCGGCCAAGTATCTGTCCAGCCTCCTCTTGAAGACCCCCAAGGTAGGAGAGAGCACCGCCTCACTTGGGAGCCCATTCCAGAGCCTGGCAACCCTAACCATAAAGTAATGCCTTCTGATGTCCAGCCTGAACCTTCTCTCTAACAATTTGTGTTTGTTATTCCTAGTAACCCCTGGTGCTGCCCTGGGGAACAGAGCCTCACCCAATTTCCACCCTGATCCCTCCTGGTGGGTTTGTAAATGGCCACCAGATCCCCTCTCAGCCTTCTCTTGTGGAAGCTGAATAGATTCAGGTCCTTCAGCCTCTCTTCGTAGGGCCTGACCCGCTTGTCTTGACCATGTGAGTGGCCCTCCTCTGGACCCTGTCAATGCTAGTCACATCCCACTTGACTCCAACAATGACTCCAAGATCCCTTTCTGCCACTGTGTTGACAAGAAGGGTGTTCCCCGGCCTACAGTGTGTTGCTGGTTCCTTCTCCCTAGATGTAGTACCTTGCAATTGCCTGCATTGAATTCCATCCTATTCTTATCCGCCCACCTCTGTAACCTGTCTAGATGTGGCTGGATTCTGTCCCTCCCCTCCAGTGTGCCCACCTCGCCCCACAACTTGGCGTTGTCAGTGAATTTGGACAGTGTGCTTTCTACACCCACATCCAGATCGCTGATAAAGATGTTGAACAGTAGAGGCCCCAGGACCAAGCCCTGGAGGACATCCATCCAGGTCAAAAACGACCTGTCCACCACCACTCTCTGCGTGTGAACATCTAGCCAATTTTCCCGCCATCTGACTGTGTAGGCATCAATGCCACAGTCACCAAGTTTTTTTTAAGAGAATGTGGTGGGAAACCATGTCAAAGGCCTTCTTAAAATCCAGGAAGATGACATCCACCCCGACACCCTCGTCCAGGGACTTTGTGACCTGATCATAAAAAGAAACCAGGTTAGTCAGGCAGGACCTGCCCTCAGTGAACCCGTGTTGGTTGCCCCTGAGCATTTCCTTCCCTGCTGGGCACTTGGAGATGTACTCCTTGATAATTTTCTCAAAGGTCTTCCCAAGGACCGAGGTAAGACATATACATATACACTAAATGTGATATACATACATTATCTATTAATACAATAAGCATATATGCTATTAATAATTCTTAGCAGTTTGTGTGGCAGAAGCTTTATCTAGTTTCCCCATCCCTAGAAATTACTGATAGTTACTTATTATTTGTATTTGTCTGGCAATATGCAAGATAGTCTAAAATGCCCCAGTTGTCTAACAGCATTAATAACTTGTCCTTGAGGAAGAAGGTGGTGACTTTGAGACCTGAAGCTATAAAAATGGATGAATTCCACAGAGCCAAGTACAAGGTGTCATGCTTTGTGACCAACAAGCATGAAACTATTATAAACTAAAGGTTAATCATTTGGAAATGGTAGAGGAGGAGAAAGAGCTGCCTGCATTAGTTGATCACAGGAGGATTATGAACCACCAATGAGATACAGGTATGATAATTGTAAATGTAGTGCTAGGATAGGCCAGGAGAGATAGGAAAATACTAATGCCATCATACCAGGCACTGGTGAGATCTCATGTATGAAATACTGCGTACAGCTCCGCTCACCTCTGGTTAGGAAAAGTAAACTTAAATTGCAGCAGGTGTGGAGAAGATGATCAGGGATGCATAGCCTGTCTTTTGAGAAAAGGCTAGAAGTGCTTGGCTTGTTTAGATTGTCAAAAAGGAAGGCTGAGAGAAGTAATTTGACAGCTAGCTGTAAATACATCAGGGGATAAACACCTGGGGGGGGGAAAGAGCTATTCAAGTTAGAGGGCAATGTTGGCACAAGAATGAAAGGGGATACACTGGCCATAAATCAGTTGAGGTTGGTGGTGGCTCCTAACCAACCAAACTGTGAAATTGTGGGAGAAGTGTCTGATGGGCAGTGACAGTAGGAAGCCTACCTGGCTTTAGGACTGACTGTGACAGCTTTATGAAAGGATGATATACTGTGGCTGCCTTCGGTACAGAACACTGGGTTGCATGAACCCAAGAGGTCCCTTCTAGCTTGTGTCCCTACCTTTACTCCCCCTCTAACCTCAGCTCATGATGTGAGGGTCCAGCTCTCTGCTGCTCAGAGCTAGACACAGGAATGGGTGAACTGGGTGGCTGCCTGGGACCCAGACAGAAAGGGGGCCTGAAACAGGTAATTTTTTTCCATTTCTGATTATTATTATCATTATCTCTGGTGAAGGGGTGCCTGATACTAAAAGTTCACCCAGGGCCACCAGGAATCTAGGTACAGTACTGCTGCTGCTACAGCTCAGCACAATGCCACAGATTACACCAGCTGAGCATTTGTCCCAAAGCTTGCCTTGTTCTCTGTGAGCTTATTTATGAGTTAGGTCCAAGAGCATCAAGTCATCTAGACAAGCACAAGCCTATATTCTGAGAGTAGAACCTTGGACATCCCCCAGGCTACACTCCAGAGCCATGCGTCCTGTGAGTCTTCCCATGAGTCTGGGGTCAATGAGAGGCTATCACCACCTGTGACGGTGTAGAGAGCCATCCAGAAAGGTCAAATAAAGGGACAGGTTACTTTCCATACTGTATCTCACCAACCCCTTCCTAACAGTGCAATACCTCCCCTCCTGTAACTCTTTCTGGCCTGCTGTCGTGTAGGGTCTGTATCATCATAGACTCTCACTTGCTTAATTTTTGCAGCTCTAATAACCCAGAGGCATCTATTTTAAGGCAATTTTGATGAAGCGCTTTCTGTACCTGATATGGTGTTTATTTCACAACCAGTCTCAGCCAGCTCAGTCTACCTTCCTGTCACCCCCAACTCCCTTGTCCTGCTGGTGTACTGAAACTGACCTTGAGGACTCTTTTCTTCACAAGGACTATTTCAGTATTTCCTGAGATCTGCAGCTTCGCTTTTCTACAGCGATGACACAACTGCACCATGACGCAAGCTCCAGGTTATTCTAGAAACCCCACAGTTTCCCATGAAATCATTCTGCCATCATTACCCAGGACCCTTATAAAGAGTGGGCTGTCTAGGGGGGTCAGCATCAGATCAAGCAGGGTTTGGTTTCCAGTGGTCCTGCTTTTGTCTTGCTCCTGCAGCTCACCATCAACATGAAGGTCTCTGTGGCTGCTCTTGCTCTTTTCCTTATTTTTGCCTTCTCCTCCCAGGCATCTAGTGCTCCAGGTGAGTCCAGCTTCTACCCCTTTTTTGAAAGGGCAAATTTTTTCTCCTTCTGAAAGCTGCTAACTCAGAAACAGGTTCAAGAAAGGTAACCTTTGGAGAATTAAAGGTAGCTGAGCTGTCGTCTGCCCTGCCTCTTTGAAAGAGGCTGAGAACACCTGAAAGGATTTTGTTCTCTGAATTCCTTTTTCTTGCTGGTTTTTTTGGTCTTGTTTTGGTTTTTTTTTGCTTTAGGCATGTCAGGATTTCCCCTCCTTTTGCTAGAGGAGTTCAGTCCAGAGGTGCCAGTTGGGTGCTTTTTCATTTTAAATAAAGGGGCCCAGGGTACGAAATTTTTAATAAAGGCATCCTTTGTCTCTAGGGTTTCTCAGGGTTTGGAATTAAGTAGAGGTTGATAAAAAATAAACTCTTTTTGAACACACTGACTTTAAACCCCTTCCCTTCACACTTGCTTGCATTTCAATGCCTGAAGTCTGGCAATGCCCCTTGTCTTATGGCATCTTACACCTAATAATATCACAGCCCAATCCTGTGTGTTGAGTGGAAAAGATTCTTGATAGGCATGGGGAGAAGAGGCTCCCAGAAAGTTGTGCTCTGTAGTATGGGGCAGAGGATGACAGGGCAAGCTATGTTACTGTCCAGGCTGGGCCCCCAGCAGAGAGGGAGATTCATGCATGTCCTTGTGTGGTCTTTTGCAGTTGCACTTGACATGATGACTGTGTGCTGCTCAGGCTATGCCACCCGGCCAGTCCCCCGTAGCCATGTGAAGGAGTATTTCTACACCAGCAGTATGTGTACTCATCCTGCTGTCATGTAAGTACCATCTCCTCCCCTGGGCACAGTGGAAGGCCAAGGCCCAGGGCACAGCCAGCCATTTGTTTCTGCCCCTGATTCTCCTAAGCATCCTCTAGAACAGGGGTTTGGCTCCATGGGTAGATCATATTGCTGTAACTGGAAGGGGTATTCAAACCACTAGAGCTGTCCTGGTATAACTCCTCCCCCCAACCACTGAAAGTCCTTTTATTCCAGTATGAGAGCAATTTTGAATATATTACTTGATCAAGTGTTTAAAGTAAATCAAGAAAGCCCTTTGTGATCTTGAAAGGTGAGCGGTCAATCAAGTGCTTCAGACTGGGATAACCCAACATCTACGATGGTACTAGTAGGTTTGTGTAAAAATTTTCACTATGACAGCCCTTAGCCAGTGTGTTAAGTGGCAGGTTTAGAACACTTCTTGGCACAAAGCCAGTGGTGTTCAACAGATATCTGTCCTAACAGATACAAAGTGGGTGCATCTACACACGTACATTTAATGTGCATTAAAGAGTCACTAAAAAACCATGCTATTTAGCTGATGTTCATTAAGTGTCACTTAAAAACCATGCTCTTTGATTAATGAGCATTAAGATAGGCTAATCCACATTTTCCTAGTACCTCATAATGGAGGGTGTCTATACATGAGCTGGGAGGCTGCTCTGATGCGTTGTAAGTACAGTGCATCAGGGTAGACTCGATTAATTGAGTCTGCTGGAGCATAGTAATAATGTGCTTCAGCCAGCTTCTGTGTCTTGTGTGTCAGGATCCCCACACTTCTAAATGGAAGTGGAGGGGTGCTTTAACTAAAGCTCATTCAATGAGCTTTAGATAAAGCTCCGCTGCTGCCATTTTGAAGTGTGGGGATGCTGATACATGAGATGCTCTGGATGCTTTAATTGGAGTGGCTCTCAGAGCCACTTTAATTAAAGTGCCCTTTCCCCTCCCAGAGCACATGTAAAAATTCCTGCAGGTACTAGATTTTGTGCACATTAACTAAAGTGCATTAACACACATGTAGATGTGCACACTGTGTCTCATTCCCATAATATCTAGGACCAAATAGTCCAGGCCAAGAAACCTCTGAACATTGACCTGTCTATCTGAATAATCCTTTGAGCTTTTCTTATCTCTCTGTGGTTTGAGGCCTCAGTTCTCTTCCGGTGCTTTGGATATGGGATTCATGGATGGGGAGTCTGGCCTAGGGATGTTCTCACTTCACAGGCCTTACCCCCGATCTTCTCTTTTCACAGATTTGTCACCAGGAAGGATCGCCACATCTGTGCCAACCCTAAGGATGAATGGGTCCGTAAATATGTGAACTTCTTAGAAATCCAGTGAGAAGGCCAAGAGTGGATGGAGGCTTCAAGGGCAAGGTGCCCCTTTAAGGCACTTCAAGCTGTTTCTGCACATACAGTTTTAGAACTGTCTCTGTTGTAAATGATGTAATTTTCTGATTTAACCAGGGCCCTGCCCACTTGTAGTGGGTAAAGATCCTGTGAACCTTAGAGATAGTGGCTTCAAGGATGGTCAGCAGGCATGAATTATGCCTAGGGCTGGAGCACTGAACTGAAGCTCAGGAGAGCTGGGTTCTGTTCCTAGCTCTGCTACTAGCCACTGGCTGACCTTGGGCAAGTCAGTTCCCTTCCCTGCACCTCAGGTTCCCTGTCTCTAAAGTGGGAATAATGGTGCATATATTCTATTTTGAGATCTAGTCGTGAAAATGCTGATGTGCTTTATCCAGAGGTGGCTGCATTCCAGGGTGTAGGGAGGTGACCTCTGGCTTGTGCTTGTTGTGCCTGTTGGCTGTAGGTCTCTACCTGCCAATTTCCTCAAGCACTTTGTGCTCTTTGTGGTGAATGAAGCTGTGCCTGAATAAGCTGTCAATCCGTGAAGGGTATTTTATGCTGTGCTATTTATCATAGGCTTGCTGTGGATCAGCAGGCCTTGGCTACAATTTGGATAAAATGGTCTGTTGCTGGTTTCAAGGAATAAAGATTCTTGCCTGTCTGTTTTGTACCTGTCTCTGTCTCTACCTGAGCTTTGATAGAGTCTGGGCTTTTCGCAGCTACTCATGCCCATTCTCTCAGTTGCAGATATGAAGGCCAAAAAAGTAGACCTACCCAGCCTCCTGATTGCACAGGGGCTGCTAATTGAGGCCAGTGGGGAGACTTGGGAAAACTGGAAACATATTTGGAAGGAAGGGGGCAGACTGTCTTGACGGGGAGTTGCTAACGTGGGCTGGAGAGCCAAGCACACAGCAGTGGACTGAATCCTTGTGGGGTAGGAGGATTGATCTGGGGTGGGAAGGGCAAGATGAAGTGGGGATGATGGAGGGAACTGTTGTGTGGAAAGCTGATGAAGGGGAAAACTGAGGGGCAATTAGAGCCAGGAGGAAAGGCCTTGTCTATGGAAGGCCTTGGAGCTGTGGGGAGGTGCAGTAGGTCAGGGGTTTTTGTACCTCTGGGGGTACTTGGGAAAGCCCTAGGGGGTATGCAGAGGTGGGCGGGGATGGAGAACCACCATCCACCACCCCGCATCGTCGCTTCCCAGGAGCAGGGCTAGGGCAGGACTAGGGCAGCAGCCCTAGTGGACTGCACAGGCACTGCCTGGCCTGTCAAATATGGTGCGGGTGGGGAGCTTGCACCAACCTGCCATCCACCAACCCGCACCACCCCTCTGCATTCGGTTGTGCGCCCCTCCCCCCATCTCTGTGTCCAGCCAACGCGGGTACACATATTTAAAAAGGTTGAAACCCCCCGAGGTAGGTGATGGTCACAGCAGACAAGGCTGCCACCTTTGTGGGGGGCACAAAAGAAGCCTTTACTATAGAGGTAGCTGATTGTGCTCCTGTAATTGGCACAACACTGCCCAGGGCACTTCCTCAAAAGCATAGCAGCACAGCTCTGCAGCTGCAGCAGCTGCACAGTGCCCACAGTGTTTGAGTGACTAGTAAAAGGGGATGTCTTTCTAGGTTTTCAGGGAAGCACTGAGCTGAACTTGGCATATGATGAAATAAATCAATGTGTGTGCATGTGTGTATGTGTGTATATGCAAGTGCATGTGTAAAGATGGGGGAACTCCTCCTAGTGGCCATCCCTCACCAGATTGCCATGCCTGGGGCAATGACTAAAGCTCAAGGGATATAGTGAATTGTGAGTTTGGTGTGGATGCCCCAAGTGTCTGTCCTTGCTGGTGACCTATACTGGAAAGATTGATCAATATGGGATAAAATAATTCCTTTCATACCTGGTTAAGTGGAAAGTCACTCTTCACTGCCAGCAGCCTTTCTCCTCTCTATCACTAGAGGAGTGACCCCAACACATGAGCTCATGCCACCTCTCTGGCCCCCTAAATATGGGAATAACACCTGCAGGTTCTTGGCAACTTATCATTTATGCTGCCCTGGAAATATGAGGGCTGTGAAAGCTTCTCTCATTTCCCTTCATAGCACGATTGTGTCACACACACTTCCCAGTAACATGCAGTTGTTTCCTACTGGCTGTGTCTTGAAGCAGGGAAAGATTAATACTTTGTGGTACCTGATTTAGTCTATGGTTTTCAGCTTGTATCCTATATGTGATTTGTGAGCAGAGGGTGGCCACTTTAAAACCAAATTAATTAATTGTTCTGAAAGTTCTGGCTAGTAGTGGACAAGAATCACAGGCAGGGATTGTTCAGCATACATCTACCTGTGCCAGAGGATGGCTTGGTACTTTGGATGGTCTCCTGGGACTGAGGTTGGATTCCCTGTTCTGCCACAGACTCCCTGCATGACCTTTCTCAAGTCATTTTGTCTCCTGTGGTCTCAATTCCCCAGCTGTTAAATAGAGATGACCCACCTGAGCACAGAATTGTGAGATAAATGGAAGGAGATGATGATGGGGAGTGCAGAGGTGCCAATCAGAGAATGGCCAGAGGCAAAGTGAGCGTCTTTGATGGTTTTAGAAGATTTACCACTGTTTTCACAGGGCACTTGTACACATGATGGAGTTTTAGTCCTTAGGGTTGCTCCCTATTCTATGCCCCCTAAATTGAAATGGTGGGGTACTTGTCCATGTTATACTTTTCCTGTTTCCACGTTACTTTTGCTGTGTCTGTGTGACATTAAGCTATCTAAATTGCGTCTGCAGATCCATGTTGTCAGCTGATTTTATTGTTTTAGGGGTTTTGTGGTAATTTAAAACACATCCAACATGTTTTATTTTTAGTTCCTGAATTTCTTCCATGAGAGTTTTTTTTTATCACCCGAAAACATGATTTTCCCTGCTTTGCAAAAATTTCACCACCAGGTGCTGCTTGTGTTCACTCGTAAATTCATGGAAACCCATCAAATTTCTCTTGCAATGATTCAACTGGACACTAGATGCTAATCTTGCAAATGTTTACTGGTTATTTTACCAGTTATTTCAGATTAATGACAAATAAAATTTCCACGAAAAAAAGTTCCACCTTTTTGCACACACTTCACTTCTGGCTGTCTTTTTCCCCTCTGTTGCTCCCCCTCCCACTACTCCCATTGCCACTAATCAGAACAGGCCAGCCTCAGCCTCAGCCTCAGCCTCAGCCTCAGCCTCAGCCTCTGCCATTCCAGCTGGCCCTGCAACTTTTTATCGTGCTCCTGCCAAGAATTGTGAGGTCTCCCACCCCCATTTCCTGCCCTGCTGCTTCACCAAGATGGCTGACAGTGCTGCTACCCACCCCCCAGACTCCTCCAGTGCCCCCTGTGCCACTGGGACATCCTCAGCCATGGCCTGAGGTGGCATGTCACCGGGGGGGGGGGCAGGTAGGGTGGGGTCAGGCTCCCTGGCTACATTCTCCCTGGCATGGCAGAGTCGGGCACCAAAGGGGCTGGGGCTCCTTGGGAAGTTCCCTTCTGCCTCTTGTTCTTGGCTTTCTTAGCAGTAGGGGTAGGTGGCTCCTCCCCCAAAGGGGGTGGGCCAGGCTGCTTGGGGCTTGCCACCTCTGGGCCCACCACCTCAACTGAGGCAGGGGTGGAGGGAGGCAGAGAGGGGGTCTTGTTTTTCCACCCGATGGGGCCCCAGCACCCAAGATGCTAGCCACCGTGGGGGGAACTGGGATGGGGAGGACTGGAAGGATGTCCCAGCCCCTCCACCAAATGAAGCCCCCACACTGGGGGGGGCAGCCCCATCAGGTGGGTGGAGGGAGGTTGAGAGGAGGCCATGGTCACCACACCCGGTGGGGCATCAGCACCTGAGGCACCAGCCGCCCCAGAGGGGACCGGGGCAGGAGGGGGCTGGGTGGAGTCCCCAACCCCTCCACTGGGTGGGGTGTCAGCTCCAACAGGCAGGAGGAGCCTGGGAGGATGTTGGAGGCCCCCCCCAGGGGGTGCATGCTCACGCCAGAGATATTGATCCCCCCAGATGGAGCAGGAGTGGAAGGGGGCTGGGAGGAGCCCCCAGCCACACCCTTTGATGAGGCTCCCACGTCAGAGGTGGATGTGCCATCTCCCTGCACGGATGTAGCAGCCGGTGTCCCGGCTGACTGCCCCAGCAGACACTGTGCAGCCAGGTGGAAGCTGCTGCCGCAGTGGCAGCATGCAGTCCTGTCCTGGGAGAAGTAGATCGTATACTGCCTCTCATCCACCACAAAGGCCATGGAGAGAGGCAGGGGCTGGGGCTCTGCCCTGAGGAGTATGAACACCTGCCTCTGGAAGGACAGGACATGCATGAGCCTGGGGTTCCTGCTCCCCATAGTCAACCTGTGCCAGGGGCTAGTGAGGATGCCATAGAGCTCGAGCGCTTTGGTGAGGTCCCAGTCTGGCAGGTGTGGGGGGACATTGGGGGCCACCACCTGCACTACCAGGGTCTCCAGGGGCGTGGCCAAGAAGTGGATGCCTGAGACTGCCAGTCCCCCCGTACACACCTCCCTCACCAGGCCGAGGGAGCTCAGGTGGATGACAGGCACTGAGTTCACGCAGGAGGTGTACCGGATGTTCCAGCGTTCTGCCAGAGCCTCCACCCTGACATGGAGAGTGGCATGCGCCCGCAGGCCATGGCTGAGGGGCAGGTCTGCAGAGACATCCCCGTGCCAAGTGCCCTGGCTGCTGGCAGCCATCCTGGGGAGGAGAGGGTTAACTCTCCCACGGGGCTCCTGCAAGCGGGGGGAACCCTGGACTGAAGTTGGGGACTGGGAGGAGGCTAAAACAGCCCCAAAATCATCCCCGGGGGGGGGCAGAACAGCCCTGCAGGGGCTGAAGGCAAGCCCTAAGCAGAAGGAGGTGGTAGAGACCAGGGTAAGGGGCTCTGGAGGAGGGAGGCAGCAGG